GATGACTTCTCTTTCTCTTCTTGATGAGATTTCACAGATGATCTGATTAGGAAGTGTTAGCTACTGGGCTGCACTGCCACGGGCAGAAATGATACTCTTTTGACTCTGTTTCTGGCTTTTCCCTGATTCTCTTACTAAATGGAGGTTTTTAACCTAGTGTGATTCTCTGGTGGTTTTGTCATGAAGTAGAAAAAAATTCTAATGATTTCTACTCCGAACACTTCAGGCTTTCATATAAACGAAACGTCCTGAAAACAATTATGTCTCATTCATCAGCAAAGCATTCCCCCTGCCTGTCTGTGAGTGCTTTTCCCGGGTCAGCACAGCCACATGGGGAGCTCGCTGCCTGCTAAGGGCTTGGACGCGTTGCCTTAATGCCACACACCATGGGAAGCGTTTCTGAGGAGAAACTCAGTGCATTCTTGTTTGTTCCACAGCAACAAAGAAATGGAAAAAAAAAAACCCCAACCCACTGTCACAGGCAGATTCTGAATTTTATCTCAGTATAACATAAATATAGCCAGGCCTAACACATTATGAAACAAGATGAAAAAGGAACTGAAGTAAACTTTTGTCTTTATGTGGTACCACATAACTGTCCATATCTGGACCAAGGTCCAGATGTACCATATGAATCTTGAATAATTGTGTTAAAAAAATTCAAAAGAATCACAATTATTTCTGTCAGGCTGAGGATGTGCAATATGATATCTTATTAGTTTATAGGAATATGAAGTATTCATCAAATTGTCTTGTAATTCTTATTGCCTTTGAGCTCTCACTAGTCTTATGGATGATTAGCTGCGACATTCCTCTCAACAGTTACAATTCCAGAGAGGCAGGAAACAGCAGAGAAATAAAGTCATTCCCAAGAATCATCAGAAACTCAGCAATACAAACTGCAGTGGCAGATGTAGGGTGCAGAACAGACAGGTATTTACTGAGTCAAGTCAATATTCAACTAAAAAAAGAAAAAACTGTTTCCTGCAAGGTGGGAGACTAAAAAATGAATATATAGGAAAATTGGTTTCCCTCTGGTATTGTAATCCTGCTGTTCAGTATGTTGGAGAATAATAAAAGAAAGGGAGAAGTAGAACAGCTCAGAGGAGGCCCCCTTGGACATGATAGCCCACAGGTTTAGAAGCATCTTAGCAGAACAATATTCAACAAGCTTCTGCTTTTAAGGGACCTCAGAGTGTAGCTATTTATACGTGAAAAAAACCACAGGATTTCATGTCTCAAAACTGACACATTTTCAACTAATGGAGAATAGTCCTCTCTTACACTTTGAGCATCTCACTAAGACTGCCCTTAAAAATGCTCTCTTGCATCTTAATAGGTGATATCATCCCCTTTATATCATGTTTCATATTTTATATACAACTCTTTCACACAAGAATTTCTAATTTGCAAATTAATCTATATTTATGCAAATCTAGGCTAACAAAAACTTGATTTTGGCCACAAATGTCAGTAAACACTATGACATGAAGAAAAAAAAATAGCCCAGGTATTTCAGAAGGCATTCAACTCTGGCAACAGTAAGAGGATGAGGGAAGTAAGGAAGAAGGAAGCAAAGAAAGAGAATGAAGGACTTTAGAGACATTAACATGTATTGAAACAGAATAAAAATACCATTACAACTCAAATGACCTGACTTGACAATAACTTCTTTTTTAAACAATGCATAGCTGTACTGGATTTCATAGAAGTATTTGCTATAAGACTAAGTAAGAAAAGACAATTAGTAAAGATATGTAAAAGACGTGCAGGAAATTGCACTGCACTGAAAGGTCATGCTCAATACAGAGAATGACTGTAAGGAAAACTCTTCCTTCTTGACATTAATATTCTTCAGTATTTGTGTGTTGATGAAGTTTCTAATGAAACAAAATCAGCAGGCATTGTCAGGACCAAGGATGAGAACAAATATAACAAGAACTGGATAACCTTGAGGACTGTAGCAATATTAAGAACACTGATTTATGTGAACAGTGTTATGAAATGCCAAGTCATGTGTTCTTAGCATTATGCAAAAAAATTCTTCAAAAAGCCAGCATGAACCCACTGCTGGAAAATGAGTGAGGAAGGGAGAGACCTTACTGTACTGTTCCAGAAAGGACTCTCCTGTGATATGCACTTGTGAAGGAGGCAGAGGTGGCTCTTTGAAGAAAGGCAGGGTTAGTGCCATAGTGTAATACAGATTTCATCTGGGACACTGTTCATGGTATTAGTTATTCCTGATGAAGAACTAAGGACAGTTCTGCATTTCTCTTAACATGCTCCTGCATGAGAAAGCTAAAAAAGACTGGAATATTCAGTTTAATGAAATGAAGTCTATGAGAAACTACAAGTGTTTTCATTAAATGTGTTATGAAGGTCCCAGTAGGGCCAGAGAAGACACTAAATTTAAAAAAGAAATTGCAGGCCCAAGCAGTGAGTATTAATTTCATGCTTTCAGAGGTATGAAAAGACCTGGGGTAGGAATTCATAGAATATCTAACCACTACAAGAAAGCAGTGGTGAAACAGACATCCAAGAGGATCACAAAGGCAAGAAACCAACCTTCTTCAGGCATGCAGCTTAAGCACTTTTTAGAAGTGATTATGACTTCAGCACTGGCATGGAATGACTTGGAAAGTGACTTTCAATCTTATTCACACTGCCCATCTACCTACAGCACTTTTGTCTTAAGTGATTCATGAAGAGTAGACACACAGGTTTTCATCAGGACAGAATGATGTTTATGAAGACCAATCATTTTCTAAAGCAGTGTGACAGTGCTTCAAAACACAGGTCAAGTGTTACTTTATCCACATTCTTTAGTGGACTTTATTATTGCAATGACAGACAGGCTGGCTCCCCTTAGTATCCCAATTTAAATCCATTTTACCTTTGTGATGCTGCAACAGAGCTCACAAACCCACATGCGACCTCTGCTCCAGGCATCCCAACTTCTATGGTAAACTCAGCTTCTACCCTTTCTATGATATAAGGAGCATTAAGTTTTCATAGTGAGTGGAACAACTTTGAGCACTCAATACTAACTTTTTAGGATTGTTTCTTGAAAGATAAGTGATCTGCATCAGATAAAAGGGAAATTTCAATTTACAAGTCCCATATTCTAAGTCTGAATAAGAACAAGTGCTCTCACTGAAAAGCAGAGACAAGACTTAATTTTCTGCTTTGCCAAAGGACTGACCTGACAGAAATTTCCTGGGAATATTTTCCAGAGCAGGTTGTGAAAGGATGAAAGGAGAGATACCTACTTTGTGAATCCCAATAAGACTTAGTCATCTCAGCAATGTAGAGATGGCAAGACCTTTCAGCTTCTACCCTTTCTATGATATAAATGAGCATTAAGTTTTCATACTGAGTGGAACAACTTTAAGCACTCATTACTAACTTTTTAGGGTTGTTTCTTGAAAGATAAGTGATCTGCATCAAACCTCTACTCTAAATCAGATAAAAGGGAAATTTCAATTTACAAGTCCCATATTCTAAGTCTGAATAAGAACAAGTGCTCTCACTGAAAAGCAGAGACACGACTTAATTTTCTGCTTTGCCCAAGGACTGACCTGACAGAAATTTCCTGGGAATATTTTCCAGAGCAGGTTGTGAAAGGATGAAAGGAGAGATACCTACTTTGTGAATCCCAATAAGACTTAGTCATCTCAGCAATGCAGAGATGGCAAGACCTTGTTGGCCATTTCAACACTGCTGTAAACAGAGAGAAAGGATTTCATCTGACTCTCCAGCTTCCCACTTTACACACACATTTGGAAAATAGGAAAATACCAGGTCCTTGCTACAAGTACAATTAAAAGACACTGTCACAGCAAAAATTTTCTCCAAAAAAATCTCTGTAAGCCTGAATTATGCCAATAGTTTTCTCACACATTATAATCAACCTAATATATATACTACCTATATACTGGTTGCAGGTATGAGATCCTGAATCAAATGCTATCAATGGAAATTGCACAAAGAACTACACAAAACCCCAAACAAACCAGATTTTATCCACTCTCAGTGCAGAGTCCACCATTACATTTGCTGCTTGTGAATATCAGTGCACAGAATTTTAATGATAGTCTCAACTCTGCTTACATATGCATGGTAATTATTTCAGGCAACAGTGTCACAAGAATTTTAGCATATCTGTAAATTCCAATAAGATGAATGAAATCTGGACATAAATGTAAAGCATATTCTTAAATGCTTCCTCAAACAGAAGTTCAGCCGCACCGAGCTCTTACCAGACTGTAGCAGAAATTAAGCACAGAAATCACACATATTTCATAATACAGAACTTACTTTAAAAATACACATACTTGTGTACTGTATATTAAAATGTTACATTAATCTTTAAAGTTTTTATATAATCTTAGAGTGTTAAATAACATGCTTGCAATATTGTCATTATAAAAGTGATCATGAATTTTTTTCAGAGAAAAGAGAGATTTTACTTCACGAGTATTATCTACATAAGTTCAATAGACACCAGCCATTAAATCAGTATATATAAAGAGACTGTTTACATGCTTTGAAAGTTTAACTAGAGCACGGTGGTTAGGAAAAAACCCACAAAACACCTATTTCAAGGACAATTCTAACCTCTTGCCTTCATTTATAAATGGAAACAAGCTGCTACACAGTTCAGCAGTAAAGGAGGATAAAGAACTGATATAATCCTTGTGCTCCTCACATGAACTCCAACAAGGCATTTCAATGAGACTTCTAAGCTGTAAATTGTCTATGAAAACACAGAATAACTTTTGCTAATCCTTGTGCCACAAATTATTAATCCATCTGGAAAGCTATTTTTTTGCTTGTGTTTACAGGGATCTAAACATCATCAGACAGAAAGACAAGTGGGTTAGTAGCATGTAAAAAAAGCAACCCCTGAATACAGAACATGAAAAAAACCAGAACTCGACAGAAATAAAAACTCCCAAGCAGTTGAGCACAGAATAAGTAGGATTTGCAGAAGTACTTACAGCTTTCAATCTCCAGCGTGCAGTTCTGCTCATCCAGCGGATATCTCCGCAGGTCCATCATGCAAGCAGCTGTTGTTGTAATTCTGGGGAGGAAGGAGAAGAATTTGTTAATGTGCCTCATTCCAATGTTTCCTCAATCACACTTTGCTGAAAGAAGAACCTGTATTTCTGCAGAAGTGATGCTCTCCCTGGGTGCCATGCCTGCTGCTGGCTGGCCACCAGGGCTGTCCCAGGGAGGCTCTCCCAGCTCAGCTTCCCCTCCACAGGTACCTTCTGCTCTGTGCTAAGCACAGCTGACTGGCCAAAGCACTGGGGAACCTGCTTCCACACCATGACAAAAATGAGAGCATTGGGCAGCAGACATTTGCACAAGCTTTCTTCAAGCTGAAAGGCTGACCAAATGAATGAGATCAAACTGTAAAATCCAAGCGATGAGCTCCACAATGGGATCCAAAGTGGACCAGATGGAGTACCTACAGCACATACAGACACTAAGACATGACAGAATCAATGTCTTTCCAAGGCATTAATGGGAGATTGCGTGACCAACAGTTTTCTTCTCAACATCCTGTGCCATGTATGAGGTTTACTATTGGCCTTTCGTAGTAGATATTTAGAATGTTCAACAAGAGTTCAAAACTTATTGTAAATTCTCTGTTCTGATAAAAAGACTTCAGAGAACTCCTTCATTTGACCCATCTTATTCTTTCTCCTTCAATACCTAAAAAGTGTTCATTAGTGGCAGAAAATTACAGTTGCCTGGTTAAAATTCAGTCAAAATTGACTGTAGCAACTATTTCTAAGGCACTTCAGAATCTTCATAAGTAAGATTACTGTCCTATTCTATTGGTCTCTTGGACAAAAGGAACATTTTTTGGTATCAAGTTCTTTCTTCATTCCATATAGGTCTACTCATAGAATTGCTTTGGAAAATATAATGGTTTTAATCAGTGTGTGTTACCAGAGATGCTTCACAATAAATCTTTTTGGAGTAGGACAAAACACAGGGAAAAGGCTCCTTTGGTGTCTCTCAGTGAAAGCCTTCCATCTTTTAACAAAATGAGACTGCTGAGGAATACATGTGTGCTGATAGCAAATGCAAATTGAGCAAGCAGTAGCATATATTGGTAAAAAAATTGGTAAAAACTCTTGGCAGTTAATAGTTGGTTATTTTTAAATTTAAAGAAAAATCAAAGAAATTGCCCTGTTCCAGTGTCAGTATAAGACTGAGTATTTTGGGACAAACTTCAAGAAAGGTATGGTGAGACCAGAAAAAAAATTACAGGTCATGGTTTTTGTTGGGTCATGTTTTGGATTTTTGTGGGGAGGTTTGTTTTGATTTCCTCAGCCCTTCCATACTTAGCTGTATATAATAGTCAGGATTTTACAAGGGTTTCATAGTCCACAGAGGAAAAGGCAGAGCACAGACTTACAGCCAAGGTTGAAGCTAACCTCGTTGACTACTAAGTTTTCTCAGAGATTTCTCTGCACTAAACACTTCCTTCTAGAGTCTACCAGATCCAAGGGTTCCACACAGAGACAACCCCCAGCCCATGCTACCCTCTGCAAAGCATCTGTCCCCACAGATGGAGTGGAGAGCTCACAATTCTCACACAAAATTTCCAGAGGATTTTTGGTACAAAAAACCGAGAGGGGCCAAAGGCTGCAGACAGTTGGGATAAAAGCTCTGTAGGGAACATCAGGAAATCTTTAAAGGACACAATGCCCTGCACCTCACTAGAAAGTAAAGGGAAAAAAGGTGGCATGGTAAGGAAAATGATTTGTAGAGCAGGGATTTAATCAGGTCAAAACAGACGTTTTGAATAATGTATTAAATTCAACTTGCTTGTTCCTTCCTATCCATAATGCAAATCCATTGAAATAAAATCAGTAGCCTGTCCTTTCCTTTCCTCTTACCTCCCTCATATTTTTAGCCTGGCTTCTCACATTTACAATAAAGTACAAAAAGTTCTCTTTCATCTTCATAGTTAATTAAACAGCAAAACTACCTTTAGATAATTCTTAGTGGTTCACAATTCATGGTGATTAGCTAAATCAATTTACTAAAGCAACAGAGTGCAAGAATTACCACCTTGGAATACTTTTAAAGGCAAGAGACATGACCCACACCTTTTCAGACAGAGGAAGAAATAGCAGTTCATTTTAGAAGTTGGGAACACTTGAAACAGGCCCAAAGCCTCTCCCCCAGAGCAGAGCTGTTTCAATTTTCACAGCAGGATTAAAAGTATTTTTATACAGTCTGTACTAGTGCAAAAAATATAACATTGTGTTTTGCATAATGTAACCTTGAGAACAAACAGTGAAAAAGGAAAAGCTTTTAAAAAAACAACACTAAATCAAGGCACTGCAGTCATTAGGGATGATACACAATAACAGGACCCAGAGAGGCACCACATGAAATGAAACACATCACAGAACTGTCTCTCTCATACACTCATCTTTTAATCTGTTGCTGAAGAAAGAGAAACCTTGTGATATTTTATGATTCCTAACAATGAAAATGAGTTTTCATCTTCCACTTTTATGAATTATAATTTGAATGTAGACTGATTATGAAGCACAAAAAAAAAAAACAAACCCTGAAGAATCACTAAACTGACTAAATAAAGTATTATGAAGTAGACCTAGAGAAAACTTCTTGTGTTAAAACAAGAACAGCTACACTGCAAAAAATCTGCACCAAAACTGACTTGCAGGGAAAGTAAAGTTTGTTGTCAATAATTCAAAATAATTCAGATAAACTCTGAGAAAGATGAACATCTGCTTACCTTGGAGGGTTTGGGATTCAAATAAGAGTCAGAAATTCTCACTACTTCTTTAAGAGGCCAAATGTGAAGGCCATAAAGAACTATTTTAAAATACTTCCAAACTTAAAGTAAGGCAGAAAATAAAACCCATATTATAATACTATCCCAGAAGTGTTAGTAGGTCTTATTTTTCAGTTCTATGCAGGGAACAGTTTTTCAAAATCCTATAAATTTTACTTTTCTGACAAGTTCAAATATTATTTGAAATCCAAAATAGCAACTTAAACAGTTCTGACATCACTAGTGAAGAAAAAAGAGCACTGGAAGAAGGAGAGCAATGCTAATGCCACGTGCAGATGGACAGAATCCAATTCCCTCTTGGAGCTGCAATGGCTTTGCAAAGCTGTGGAGAATAAGCAGCAAGAGAAACTTCTCCCAGCCCTGGAAGGAAGCAGCCCTGACCTGTAATTACAGGTTTACAGACACGCAGGAATGATGAGCAAAAGGGTGACAAGTTCAGATAGCTCTCCTGAGTGGAGTGCTAGTGCAAGAACTCTGTCACACCCTCCTCTCCTGTTCCAGCTCTAACAGACCAGGATACTCAACTGTGGACTCAAAGAAAGAGCTTTGACTCCAAGAAGCCCAGGAGGAAGACACAAAAACTAATTATTTCTCTAAATGTATGCACATATATCCTGTTGAAAGCAGAGTGAAATTCTGCTTCAGCTTTGTGTATCTGTAAGCTGACTGACACCCCATCAACACCAGGATTGCACCAGGAGCAATCCAATGAGCTCACAGGGACAGCAGACTCAATCTCTTTATTGGGGATTTTATAAGAATTCTCTGTGTGTGGTGAAAGAGAGTCAGAACCTCTCTAAATTAGTTACTGAAATAATTTACTGTAGCTAAACCCACTGTTCACCTTTGCTTCTTGGAAAAAGTCCTTGTGCATGACAGCTGGAAATGCATGTGACAGCAGCAGCCAGCAGAACCAATTTTAAAGACCTGGAAATTCTGGGAACAGGACATTATGGGGATAAATCTCTCTCCTGGATGATAACACTGGATTTAAACATATGTCAAGGTTGATAGACATACTAACAGATCTACTTTTAAATAAAATAAATTTATTGCTAATTAAAGAGTTCACAGAATTTTTCTCCTGTTTATTCACAGAAAATAAAAGCTTCCCTTGTGTGATCATAGGTAAAGAGTTGGCTGTAGAAAACTCCAAACAATAACGATGTTTCTAAAAGTTCAACATTAATTCTAAAAATTCAGCTACTGAATTTTCCAACTATAAATCAGCTATAAATTTTGAACTGTGAACAGCATATAGAGTGTCAGTGTAGCTTTATAGGAAAAGAACAGCTTTTTTATTGATGTTGATGTCTCTATTTGAGATGAAACAATATACACATGCTACCTAGAATCTGTAATATGCTCTCTTCTAACACCACTCCTCAACATTTCCTGAGTATTCCAACCTAAGTGCCAACAGCTCACTTTTCTTACTCCATTTGGAAGTAATGACATGTAGATATTTCTCCCTTGATTCTGTAGTGTGCAATCCTTAGACAGTAAGATGTTCCCTGAAAGCACTAAGTATATTTGTCAAAGCTGAAAGGCACAACCATAAGGCAAATACAAAGAATCAGAAAGGATATTATACTAAAGCATTATCTAAATGTAATGCAAGAGAGGAAAAAACTTTTGCAGCTGATAAAACACAGGGACTCAGAACCCACGCAGAAACTTTGACCTCATTAATTTTGTTGTTGCTGAGATTATTGGTAAAAGAATCATACCAGATTTTTAAAGGAAACTAACATCTATATGCCTCTGATCTTTCTTGGGAAGATGTTCTGCATTTCTCTGCTGAAGTACAGCCTATTGTGCCATCTGCATGCCAGAAGGGAAGAGTCATGGAAAATCAGAGAACTGGGCTCTTATTTCATGGTAAAAGAATTCTGTCACAGAAGAATCAGAATTTTGCTGCAGGGTTCCATTCCATCTTCTGCTATATGCTATACATGTAGCTCTATAAATAGTTTTTTAAGTGAGATAGCTTTTCCTACTATCCTCTCCCTGTGTCCAAAATTCAGCCATAATACCATCGTAATTTAAGTCCTTGCAAAAAGCACACATCACAATGCAGTAAAATCTTCTGCTACAATAATCTCCACTTTAGACTGAATTAATTCAAACCTTTCCCTGAAGTAATAGGTTCTTCTCCAGAAAATAACACCTACAGAAAATGGCAGAAAAGCTCAGAGGAGCACTTCATAATTTTAATATTTTATCACTGAGAA